AAATAGGAGGAGGGGGGGGGGGGGGGAGAAGAGGAAGGGATATCAGGTTCGTGTATGATTAACCACCCAGCCCAAAGGAGGAGGAGGAGGAACTGCATCCTCGATGCAACCCCCCACTTAGCCATCGAGAGAGAAAAATATGCTGATCAAGGGGGGGGGGAAGGAACCCTCCCCTGCTTCTTAGCAACGATTAAGGTCGCAGTTTCCTAAGAGACGAGTCTTGACTAGTCCACATCAACATGGGGTAGGGGGAGAAAGGGAGGGGGGGAGGAGGAGGGAGAGAAACTTTGTTTTGCAAAGAAAAAAAAAGTCCTTCTTCCGACAGAGATGGGGAAACTTCACCGCCACCCAGACCCCCGCCCCACTCGCTGGGCGGCTGAGGCAGGGACGGACAGGAGCCGGGGAGGGAGGGAAGGAGGGAGGCAGCGCCGGAGCCTGGTCCAGCGAGACAGAGGGATTCCCCGGGGTACCGGCCTCGCCGCGCGGATCCCGGCCGCTTCCTCCTCGGATGCTGCCTGCAGCTCGGGACCATGCCTGCGTGCGCCTGTCCCCCGGGCCCCACATCGCGCACACACTCACACGGAGATGTGCCTGTGACACAGCACAATGGCGGGGCAGAAGAAAGAGGGAAGATAAACCTACAAGTCCTGCCCCCCCACAACACACGCCTGTGACAGCACAATGGCAGGGCAGAAGAAAGAGAAAGGCAAACTTATTTAGTTCTTTCTCCCCCCCCCCCCAAACACACACACAGAGATGCCTGTGCCACGCGCGCACACACACACACACACACACACACACATAATGTGCCTGTGACAAACAGATGTGCCTGTGACACGCGCGCACACACACGCACACACACAGATGTGCCTGTGACACAGCACAATGGCAGTGCAGGAAAGAGAAAAGCAAAGCTAAGTCCTCTTCCTCCCCCCACAACTCCCCCTCTCTCTCCTTTCTTCCCAAACTTGCCCTGCTTAAAATAAAGAGGCCACAAACTCTGCCCCCACCCCCACGAGACAGCCGGGGAAGGAAAAGGATAAGTACCTTGCAGAAGGTCCCTAACTCCCTCCCCAGGGTGGAGGGAGGGGAGAGCAAGAAAGAAAGGGCAGAGAAAGGTATCCAAGTGCAAATGAAAGGCACACATGGATGCTTGGATCCGCCGGAGAAACAAGGAAACAAGGCAGAAAGTTAGCGAGAGGGAGATGGGACCAGCGTTGCAAAGAAAAAGAAACTTTTTTTGTTTGTTTCCTTCTACCTGCAAAAGAGGCTTCTTCATCCCAACTCGGGGCTTTCCTTTTTGGTTGGTTTGTTTGTAAATCCAGCTGCCTCTCCCCCCTCTCCAAAAAAAAGAAAAAAAAAAGAGGGTTTGGGGGCGGGAGAGGGGGAAAAGAAAGGGAAATGGTTCTAGTTTAGGGGAAGTTCAAGATGTCCCTTGCTCGCAGCCCCCTCCAAAGGGTGGTGGTGGTGGTTGGTTAAAAATAAACTTTGCAGCAGGAGAAGCAAGGGGGGGAGGTTAGAGATGGGATCTGGCCGGATTCCTAAACTCAGACGGTTTAATATGGATGAGCATCAGGTCCTGCAGGCAAAAGGCTGCTGCTGATGGTTGGTAGAGAGGCTGCAACAGGGAAGGGAGGAAAGAGGAGGAAAGGAAGAAAAAAAAAAGAAAGAAAGAAAGAGGGAGGGAGGCAGGGAGGAGAGGGGGTGGGGGTGGAAGGGAAGAGGGAGGCTTCAGAGCCTCAAACTCATCCTTCCCCAGCGCTGCCAGGCCAAACTTTTGTGCTGGTTGTTTAAAAGGACACTTGAATCCGTCCAAAAAAAAAAAAAAAAAAAAGAGGGGGGGAAAAGCCAAGCGAGAAAGAAGGAAAGGG